CCGAGGTGCCACCCACACTGCAGCAGGTCAGGGAGCAGATCGACTCCTACGAGAAAATCTACGAGGAGGTGAATCACATCGAGCCCATCCACATTGTCCACAGCTGGATGAGGGTGGATGCTCGGCCTTTCAAGGCAGCTTTGCTCAATGAGATTAAAAGGTGGAGCTTGGTGTTCAAGCAGCATCTCCTGGATCATGTCACACACAGGTGAGGGTTGTTTCTGCCTTCGCTTCTGAGGTCTGCTCTGGGATTCATCTTGTCTTGGCTTTATTGCTTCACACTGATAACTTAGAGAATCATAGAATACTCTGAGTTGGAAAGAGCCACAGGGATCTTCAGTGCAACTCCTGTCCTGCACAGGACACCCCAACACTGCACCCTGTGCCAGAGAGCATTGGCCAAACACTCCCTGAGCTCTGCCAGCCTTGGGGCTGTGACCAGAAGGGCCCATGCTGCATGCCACCACACCACACCCTGTGCCTTCCATCCCCTGGTTTCTGCTGGTGTGGCTGAGTGTGTCAGCTGGAACCGGTGGCATGGACAGCCCCAGAGCCCTGCTGTGTGGCATTAGATAGGATGTGTGTTTGCCCACTCCAGGGGAGTCAGATAATCCCATCTCTGCCAGGGCTCTGGGCCTGCTGTGTTGGTTTGACATTGGCCATTAGTAAAGCTTCATTAATGCCATGAGGTACTTGCTCTGTTTCTAAAAGCTCTGCTGAGGGTACTTGGGGTGAAAAAAACCACCCCAAAAAGCCATTTAGGTATCCTGGCATGAGCAGTCATGGGAGGTGGCTCTGGGGTACAAAAAGGAGGAGGTTGGGATGTAAGTTTTGAATTAACATTGGTCTGAAGAGCTGCTCAGCCCCCAGGTCTGTGCAGGATGATGCCTCAAGTGATTGATTGATCACTTCAATCTGAAGGATGTCATAGGTCTTGGGTGTTCCCAGAGAAATGTCCACAGACATCTGTGGCAGTGGAGGCTGTTGCAAGGGGTGATATGATCTCTGGTGCTCTTTTCAGCATCAGAGTTCTGTTAGAGAATTTCTTTGCAAAGAGGTTTTTGTGCAGCTGAGAACAAGCGTTTGGGAGCTGCTGTTGAGAGTCCCCTGACTCAGCAGCTTAGCCTTTATTAGGTGAAGTGTTTAAGGATACATTTAGGCCCAGCAGCATCCACAGAATTTAAGTGGGCACTTTAAAAGTGTTTTAAGAGGTGCAGAATAGATGTGCTGGAAGGAGCAGAGCCCCAGCAGCCCATCCTGCCTCTGCTGACAGCACCCAGCAGCTCAGGAGGTTAAGAACAGGGTGAGCAGGTATGGAAACAGCCCCCAAACACTGATGATTTACAGCTCAAAGACTTTGAGGTACAGGGAATCATGCCTTTGGTTTTAATGACGTGGATGGGTTTTTTTCCTGCCACAAATACCTGGTTGCTTTTCTGAACTGCTGTGAGTTTGTGCCACCTGCACCCTGCTGCAGCAGGGAGTTGTCCTGGGAAGTGAGGCAGTGTGTGAGAGAGAATCCCTGTTGGCTGTAGCTTTGTAATCTGCCAGGTTCATTTGGGGATCTTGAACTCTTGTGTTGGAAGAGATGGAGTGATACCTGTCGTGGAATCACAGAGTGGTTTGGGTTGGAAGGACCGTAAAGCTCATTGAGTTCCACCCCTGCCCTGGGCAGGGACACCTTCCACCAGCCCAGGCTGCTCCAAGCCCCATCCAACCTGGCCTGGAACACTCCCAGGGATGGAGCAGCCACAGCTGCTCTGGGCAACCTGTGTCAGTGTCTCAGCACCTCACAGTAAAACCTGTGCACTCCAAGTCACTCTCTTGAGTCCTCCTGAGCTCACCATCTCTGTCCCACTCCTGCTCAGATACCTCTTCTCAGGTCAACCTGAGAAGTCCCACCCTGTTTATTTGCTTCTTGCAGGAAGCTTTACCTCATCCAGGGATCCCTTTGAGCCTGAACTGCAGTTGTGATGCCCTGGGCATGTTGCCACGCAGTGGATAGCCAGGCTGTCCCTGTCCCTGCCAGCCCAGCAGCCTGCAGAGGGCTGGAATCCATTCCCGAGCTGCTCTCACTCTGCTTCTCTGCTTTGTGCTCTACAGCTTGGCTGACCTTGAGGAGTTCATCAAAACTGCTGAGAAAGGCTTGAGCAGGAAGGTTGAGAAAGGCGATTACAACGGCTTGGTGGAGGTCATGGGGCACCTCCTGGCCGTGAAGGAACGACGCAGTGCCACAGATGCCATGTTTGAGCCCCTGAAGGAAACCATCGAGCTGCTGAGGGCCTACGAGCAGCAGCTGCCTGAGGAAGTCCACCAGCAGCTGCAGGTGAGTGGGAACCTGTGATGGACACACAAGTTTGGCCAAAGCACTGGGAGAACGTCAGGGGATATGGAATTCCTCACTCGCTGTCGGTAGAGGGCTTCAGTGGATAGTGTTTAGCTGTTGTGGGATGTGCCTTAACAGCTCTGAATGTTGGTGTTCTACTGAGATTTTTCTTTTAAAGCAGAGATTAAGCCTTTTGTTATGTCTGAAAACCATGGAATTGGCTGCTCCAACCCCCAGCGATTACTATGGGAAAAAATTAATGCATTTTCAAACACATCTGTTAATTAGGTGGAATGATAATTATTTTTAAATACGCTGGTTGTTGGCAGCGATGGAGATGGGAAGGATAATGTTGGCAAAGGAGTTGCCTTCTCATAGGACTTCAGTCCTCCACTGGGTCTGTACCACCATGTCTGCTGACCCATAGAACATCCCTGGGAGCAGGTTCTGGAAGTATTTTGGCACCTTTCTATATCTGGCTGGGATGAGTCAGTTTTCCTTTGGGAATTCCTTTCATTTCTGGGAAGGGGATCGTGAGCTGGAGGTTAGAAAAGGCTCTAAGGTTCCAGCCCGCCTCGGGGGACAGAGACAAGCACTGGCAACAGCCAAGGGGGGACAGTGGAGAAGCATGTGGCTCCCTCCTGATGGATAGGAGATGCAAGATGCACCCTGGTAGTCCCAGGGTGCAGGACACAGGGATAAAGTGAGACCTGCTGGGGTGTTCCTGCCCCACATGCTGTGGAGCAGAGGTTCCTGCTCCCTGCTGCAGGTGTGGATGGAGCTGAGGAGGGTTTAGCAATCCTTGGGGTTTCTGCTTGTGCAGCTGTGATCTGTGGGTGGTTGGTCACCAAAGCTGGAAGAGTTAATGGTCATACAGACACCCTGAAAGCCAGGAGAGCTGCACTGCATGGGTGCTGTGGCTCCTGCAGCATCTTCAGGCCAAAAGCATGGTCCTGCTGATGCCTCTGCTTGAGAGCTGCCTGTGTGTGCAA